GGTGTTTAAAACCACAAACACCACGACACGAGAATTTTATATATTAGATTAAAATATTGATTCAGTTAGTTACAATAATAATAATCAGGCTGGTTACTTTTAATACTATTGTTCAGAAAATACTCAAAAAACTTAGCGCTAAGATTCGATCCAAAATTCACCCTAAAAATCAGTACACGGTAAGTCAGGACATTATAAAAGATTCATAACATTAAATATCAATGGTAGAAAAGTGTTTTACCACATCCCCATCTATTTATATAAAAGAAATGAGTTGTTTAGAATCGATGGAACGGTATATTGTTGTATTGAAATGTCATCTCTTCTAAATTTGTTCTAGTAGTTTCGGATGAAATGGCATATTGTTGAGAAACAAATGCGTGAAATGGCATATTGTTATATTGAAAGGATATCTCTTCTCTTTATTAAACATTTTTATATGTAGGCTGGTATTAATTCTTGTATATAAGTGAGATATCAATCCTCAATTTATCGTCTTTCATCTGGTATATAAAAATTTGTAGAGAAAATTACTTTTCTATGAAAATTCATCCAGAAAACAACAGTCTATTTAGGTGTAGTGCAGTTTCGCGTGCCGTCCGCCATTCTCACGAGGTCCTCGTCTTATTAGCGGCCAATCTTCTCATTGAGGCAATCAGCCGGACGCACCCCATGCGGGAGTTTGCTCTACACTTTTTTTATACAATATGTTCAGAACTGTTTACATTATGTCATTGTTGAGGTTTTAAGTAAAATATATATTAACTTAATTACTCTTTTATTAGTCTTGATTAGTCGTTATATAAAGTCTTTTCCCTGACACTATTTTTGTGACATTTAGGAATAATAGTCATACACAGAAATATAAATTAATCTTTTTAGGTATGGGCCTCAGATTTCTGTATCTGTCATGATAATTTGTCATTTGATTTGCAAGTCATTTGATTGATAGGCAAGTAGGTGATCAACCTCCTGTGCCTGACACATGCCGTGGATGTTTTGGTCACTAAGCCGGTATGCGCATATATAGAAAGTCCATTGGTGCGCAGCCGGGGATTGATATTACGACGTCATGGATGAGAGTCGCACGCTAAAGCCACTAGGCCAACTCTGCTCATACACGGAAATAGGATGTATAATATTTTTTCATATCAAACTGTAGCGAATTTTACATACAAATAAAAAACAGCCATATGTTGGAGTAATCTGAATTAACTTTGTTACTTTTAGTAGACTCATGTGCTAGTGTTTATATTGTAATGTAGTAAATATTTTCTTTGAGGTATAAGTGAGATATTGCTATGGCAACACCTATCTATCTTACCTAACATCAAGGTAGGTATCGAGTAGGTACAATCATCATTCATAATTTGTCTTGTTCGAGGTCGAATCCTTAGCAAATAGCCTGAATTAATGATTCACCTTTTAATAAACAAATCAAGCCAGACAAGTTATTTTGAAGTAGCGAGACGTTGTGAGGACAAACGGTCAGACAAAATTAAATCCTTTAGTCATGCGGTTTTTGTATGGATTCGGTTTATTAACTTGTACTGATTCAAGTTCAATGCACTTTAGGTTTAAACAATACCATTCCCGTGCCTGCGAATAAGAAAGAAATATTAAATAACAAAATGCAACAATTCGTTTAGTAAATTCAGCATTAATAAGAATGTTAATACAAATCTTATATTAATAAACTTAGTCGATTTGATATTTAATTTACTATATATTATTTATTAACGTATATATAAAAACAGGTTATATAAGTTATTAGGCAACGGGAGGCCTTATCACTAACAAACGATTTCTTCCAGGCAACCCAAGCATGAAAAATTAAAAAGAAGGGTAAATTACAAAACGTGCAACATGAATGAACAAAGAAACATAAAATTACATGTAACTTATAAAACACTAACAAAAACTATATTTACTTTTTTTACATGGAAATTATTTAAATAGTACAAAGTATTTTAAATAACACCTTGAGCATTTAATAGTATGTATCTAGAGCTTATACATAATAATTAAAATGTTGAGTGAAGTTGCCGACAGGTGCAGGTGTCTGCAGTTCACAAACAGCAGATGTGCTGAGAATAATTTAGCCTCAGGACCTCGCATGCATTGTTGTGGTACATTATATACAAATATACATTTATTATTTTTATATGTATGGTAAGCCAACTACAGTAAATTACTAATGTATATGTTAAAGTATGAAGAAACTGACCGTAAGAAATGTATCAACGGCTAGATACTACTAGTGAAAATTACTTTCCAAGCTCCTTTGGAATTCATTTTCAGGCGTATGCGAGAAGGAATAAATACTTAATAGATTTCGAAAATTTTAAAGTTTAAAGAACAATCACCACACTGCTTACCAAAATAATACCGCGTTTTAAATGCAACAACCGCCATCTAGTTATCGGTATGAAAATGAACTTATTTATTAAGAAACTAGAGAACGACTTTTCTGTTTTAGCGTTTTTAAGCAATTTACACACTAAAGCCATTTTTAGTTGAAAACTAATTAAATGGCACGAAATACAAATAAAATCCCTTCATTTGTTTAGGTTATATTTAATTTGCATAGTTAATTTACTTTGTTTATATTTTCTAATTTTAGTTCATTATCTTATTTATAGTCTTTTAACAACAGGGGTCTATAACTAATGATCATATATTAACGCTTTATGTTAATTGTCACTTCTAAATGAATATTACTTTATTATTATAGATAAAATATAAATACGTACTAAATATGTTAATATAAGGGCACTGACAATATTTATACGTTAGCAAAGAAATAAAGTTTTAACCTTTATGGTCATCGTAAGTTTGTAAATTACAGGTTGACTAAAAAGTCTTCAAATAAGAGTTATTCGATAATAGTTTTGTAAACGTTATAATGAGGATGCCTCGGGTAGATCCCAGGTCCCATTATAATTATTATTAAAGCTTAATTAAGCCATACAACAACAAACAAGGAGTTTGCATTCCTTAATATTAGTATTAGTTATGTTAGTATAAGTTTAAAAAAATTATGTTAGATTTTTTTTTCTTTTTTAGTGGACCCTATTAGGGTAAAAGCCATATTTTTCCATTTCTCTTTGTCTTGAGCAACATTCATCCAGTTTTTCCCCGCTAGTTCTATAATGTCATCTGTCTATCTTTTCTTTTGTCGTCCTATACATCTCTTTCCAGTAGGTCCAGTCCATTTTGTTATTTCCAGTGTCCATCTTTTATCCATTAGGTCCCATTCTACCGGTCTTCTAAAACACATATATTAAATTGATTTAACAATAAGGATGCTCTTGTCATGGAACTGAGTAAGCGTTATAAATATCGTCAACGCGTCAGGTCATTAAAAACACATTAATTTAAACAGATTGCTTCAATCCGGCGACACAAATCTCATCACCTTATCTTTACCGCAGATAACAATAGTGTTCACTTTATTTTATTGCGACTATCAAGGAAAATTACGGTGAATATTATGCAAAGATCCGACCTCTAGTTATTTTTAAATAAACATTCTTCGTTCTTCAGTCGCGTTCTTTCTTCTTTTCGTTACTGAAGGTTTTTGTAGTTTCGTTCTTCGTTCTTTAGTTACTGAAGGTCGTGTTGGTTTTGCATAGCTTCCTCCATTCAATCTGTCTTCCTTGCGCCGCTGTACCTGCTTATTAGGACCTTAACTTAGGCGGTTCAGGGACGGAGGGGCCTCGTGAAAGAAACATTACTGCTTGATAATTTTTAACTTTAATAATGTTAGAAAGATAAACCTGTTTTGCCTTGATTTCCTTCTATTCATAATTGCTTAGCCATATCGATCATATTTGTGATTATTATGAAATTTATTGTTTAGTCCTATAACTGTTCTACTTCTGGATTTGTTCAGTGTGTCGGTGGTGTACCGAGACAAATATTCGTGTTTTTAAAATGTATTTTGATAGAAAACAATGACCAGGCAGCTCCTGGAACTATAATATATCGCACGAAGTGGAGCGCCTAGTCATCAGAGCTCACATTAGACACAGTTAAATCGTCTCACCAATTAAGATGAGACAGCAAACGTACCAAGTACTACAATTCTTAGAAGACATTGACTATTAACGTCAAACTTGTCCTTGCATATAATACTAAACTAAATATTATGTATGTATTTGAATTGAATTGGCGGGAATACCACTAGAAAACCTAGAAAATACTTCAGATATCGTGGATTGCCAAGTCAATGTATTTATTTAAAACATAAAAGATTTGTAATATTGATATGGTCACTATAAGATATTGTAATGTTAGCTAATTACGTAATACATTAAGATAGAAGGTCCTTCAGTAAGGACTGAAAAAATTACCTAACTTGGTATTACATCGATCTCACAGTATTTTATGGTAGAAGAACTGCGTTGTGAGACTTTGTTTTTGTTACAAGTTTTGATGGCATTATATTTTTTTCATTCATAGCTGCGCTGTTAATGTTTTTTACATTAAAATAGGGGAATAGATGACGTAATATAATAATGATTAATATAACCTAATAGTCCCTATACCACCTATTTAAGTATTGGTATCAGACGGTACTGGTACGGAGTACAAAGGATGTACAATAAAATGTGTTCTAAACTGACTACTTCTGACTATCTTCAGAAATACTAATGACATTACAAGAATTCTTACATAGTACAATACAACCTACATGTGACAAAACAATGAAAAATATGTACGTATCGTGTTTGCACGGTTGTGTAAGTAGCACATGTAAAGTTGTTAACAATAAGATAACAGTTATTCAGATAATATGTAATTGGTATTCAGAACGTAAAGCGCCCGTAAAGGATGAATATGTTAAGAAATCCAAATCGTTAAATAGCAATAAATTATATCTTCTGTTATCGAAAAACCTCGAAGACCAAATTTTGTATTTATATACAAAATTAAAGTACAGCGTATCGTTCCGCTGCCATAAGTACAGCCGTATATAGGTCTAAGGCCTCCTCACGATGTTTGTCTTTAGGGAAGGTGCAAGGTAAAGATACGTTGCGTACATAGAAAGATCCACTGTCGTACGACAGTAATTTGAACACACGACCTCAGGGTTGAGATTCGCACGCTTGTGCAACACTGGTACAACAACACATAACTATATCCATTTAAATTCTTAGTTACGAAGAAATCGTCATGCAATACATATAATAATTTATTGTTGAGTTCATTGGAAGTCATGTGCTATCGAGGCTCGTCTTACGAAGGTCAAGAATTTGAACCCCGCCGAGTGCACAAAAACTCCTTGTACTACTTTGTAGACGACAGACTTATACGGCATATTTGTGTTTCGTCTATCTCTGAAATTACATATATACCTAGATGCTTTGCAATTAAGAAGATAAAGAATGTTTTTTACTATAAGCATTGTAGGTCTCATCCCTGTAGTCGTAGGTTCGATCACCGGCTGTGCATTCACACATTCGGTCGAACGGTAAAGGAAAACATCGTGAGGAAACCGGCTTGCTGATCCAAAAAGTCGACAGCGTGTGACCGGCATAGGAGGCTGATCACTTGCCTATTAGATTGACGAATGATCATGAAACAGATACAGAAATCTGAGGCCCAGACCTAAAAAGGTTGTAGCGCCACTGATTTATTAATTTATTTTTATTATTGTAGGTTCCGACGATTCGCTTTAAAAAAATTGTGATCATTAAATAAAACTGCATTAACATGTTTTAAATTATAGATAACAAAACGTCGCAGCCTTTAATATGTTTCATAATAAGTCTATCAGACATATGCAATAATTATTCATAAGTACGTTGTACTGGGACTGTCATGGCATGATTGATTGTTTTATGATGGATATCAGTGCATTCCCTCGTGAACAATGACGTGCACCAATGTTTAAACCAATATTGGCAAAATGCTTTTACGTTCTAGTCAATATCTTTATTAAATGGAAAGGAAGTTTTTCCAAATGTAGCATGGGGCATGCGTATATAGTATTAGGCATCATAAATATAGTTATTTTTATACATCACTATTTATATTAGCATTTTTGTAACGTAACTACTATTTTTGTAGAACCAAGATTTAAGAAATTGTTTCACCATTCGGATACTACATTATCTCTACAAAGATAGGGGGTTTAACTTATTTCGAAAATACAAAAAAAATCCCACCGTGTAATGCCGAGAGAGAGCGTTTTATTTATAATTTTAGTTATATGTAGTGTAGTACTAAACTAATAAAGTCAACTAAAACTAAAGTCACTATACTTCTTAATTATTTTTATATTATTCAATAATAATTGTCACTAGTTCATGCGGTAATCTTTAACTATAATGACACTTCAAACGCTTGTACCTTTAATTAAATAAAACCTTTACTTGTTAGCACAAGTGGGGTCAAACCTCAGAGTCAATGCGCAAGTACGTTTATAGAGTTACAATTAATAGAAATTGTGATTTATGGCCCTTTAGATTGTTTTTCGCAATTAAATACGCGTAGTCAAAAAGTCATAGCCTTCAATTACGTTTTTTGTAATTGAATTTATTCGTTAATAACATCTTTAAAACGTATATTTTTTGTAATGTGAGTCGCGTTCCTATTCAGCCTAATAATGAACAAGGATCTGATCATGATTCTTATCCTTAAAACCATCATGACTTGCAATACCTTGGAAATGGACAGTCGGCTCTTTATACCTTGACCGTAGAGAATGGTAGGGCGCGCCCTTTCGAATGTCTCAATTAGTCACGATCCTGTATCTAGACTTTGATAGGCCTCAGGGACAACCGAAGATATATATAGAGCTACTTAATGTATGAAATCCCAATGTATCATATATACAACTGTTTTTTGAATATCAGCAAAATAGCTTTCGTTAGGAACTCAAAATTGCGATGCACTTTATTGCGATAGTTGTCACTAAAATTTCAGATTTTCTTTTATGAATAATGTAATTTCGGACTTCAGATTTACTGATGATGTTATGCATATCCTTGGACGCCTTGGCGGTGGCTTGATAAGTATGAGTTTTAAGGTAACGGTGTTAATTTTTCAAAGTGCTTTGCGATTGTGCGCAGGCGCTTAAAATATCCCCCTCTTCCGGCGACGAAAATATCTTTGTCGCCCTGTCTACTACTCACCGGTTGCGGTTAAACTAAACACTAAACAATATTAATAGCAATGCAAGTAGAATACAATTATTACAACCTAATTAAATCCTGCGCCGGTTATTATACCTTTTGTATATTATTAAAGGTTATTTTTTACTAAACATTAGTCTATAAAACGTACTTATTAATATCGTGTTTTAAAAAAAAAGTATACTCGTAAAAATAAAGTTATACTTGATTACTAATGTAGTCAATTTTTAGGATTAAAATTGACATTCATGAAAACGTAAATTGGATTAGCTTAACACAATCATATCAGATTATTTAAAAGGATTCTAGTTATTCAGGCATGTTTCATAGTTTCCCAGACCAGATTTCCTGTCACCACCTTCAAAGATTTCCTCTATAAACAGTTCTGAATCATAGATACATAAATACAATTTGGCGTGTTGCGAACGGGGATTGAACCCGCGCTATTTGCAAGTTGGCACTGCGCCAGCGCGGATTGTCTGACCTTATTTTGGGCGTTGGATGCATAATTAATAGATCTTATGACAAAGGGCTCATTATAATATGAAAATTCGTAAAAATTTAGGTATTAATAATTAACGTAAGAAAAATTATACATTTCGTTAAATTTAAGCAACACAAAGAATAATTTCAATGTCTTCCGTGTCTAACCAAATTTTTTTTCTAGGATCCTAGTGGGTGCCCCAGAAGACGAGCCCTACCAAGTGAATGGTGTGAAGCGACCTGGTGCAGTATATCGCTGTGAACCTACCAGCCGAGCCTTCGCTTCAGAAGATCTAGCTAATCCCTTGGAGCGATGCAGATTGATGGAGTTTGACAAGAACAGAAGTAAGTTCTATTTCTTTAACGGGCTGCTGAAAATATACCTACCATACATTTTATTATACATTGTACCTAAATGTATAGTATATTTAAGTACAAATCACTTGTATAAAGCAAAAGGCAAATTTTCGGTAAATTTGCTTTTTTGTACCTAAAAAAGGGCATTTGCGTAATTTATACCCATTATTTAAATGAAATGATATATCTGTGTTAAAAGAGCATTCAGGTAAATGTTAGGGACATTTCAACGCAAAGTGTTTTCTCTTATAAATTGTTTCAATTCTAACTTTAAATAGTATAATTTTAATATATGTTACGCCCTTACTCATAAGGTTATCTTCGCTGTATAAAGCCTAAGCAGATTCCTTGTCTCAAATATGTTAGAGCCATCTTTCATATGATAAACTATGTATTAAGTTCACGTTTCCGACCTTCCACCCTCCGTCGTTCATAAGATGTCACTGTCAAACCCAACTGAGTCTACAAATTGCCATTGTCTACAATACATTACTTACTTAGTTGGAGGTCGGATACAAATATCCTTTGGAGGCGTTCAATGGACATAAAGATTTTCTATGCTGGTGGCTGCGATTTATGAACGTCGTGTTTGAATGGTGCTCCCGCGTAGTGTGACAGGCGAGGCGCACGCGCATTTGATTTACAATACCCCATGTTTAGGTAAAAGGCTGGCATTTGTTTTGAATTTGTCAAGATCAATTGAATTAGAGTTTCTACTCGCCGATACTTTGTATTTACTAAAAAGTTTGTTTATAATTACAAAAAAGTAGGAGAAGGCTTGATACCTTTAATTAATGAGATTCTCAGAAGCCTAAAAGTAGTCTTTGGTAATTTTTTTTGGTGATTATTAAAACCTTTATTATCACGATTTTACTATTTATTTTAACTGAACAATAACTGTGAATCTGTCGGGACAATATTATATGTTAACTTCAAATTAAACTTTTAAATTTTTTTTATGCATTTATTAAATATTTACTTGAATAAATCGATCAATAAATTACACAATAGTCCATTATTACCGGATGTTATAAGTAATGTCACGAGATACGCGGTACGTTTCAACTCTATTACTTTGTACTCCTTTTAATAACGGTCGTTGTACTGACAGTCCTTTAAAGTATAAAGAACCATTGTTGTAGCGTTTATGTATGTCCTTCTGTCATAATATTACTGTAAGTATTAGCTGAGTGCCATGAAGAACGAACAATACTTAATGTTTGTGCACATACTCTTAATTTTAAACATTGCTTTGCGTGTAAAGACTTTGTGTTGCTGGAAGTTGGTAATAGCACTAAATCTACAATCAATTATGTTTCCCAACCTTTTTTGAGCCATGCCCCACCGTAGCCTTACTAAAATTCTTATAAAACCCCCCCATCCTATTCAACATATATAACTTTTAATTTAAAAAAATATCGTTAAATTAATGAAAATGATAAATGATAAATGATGCCAATCATATTATTCCTTTTTATTAAGAAATTACTAGGAAATTGTTAACGATATACAGTTAGTTGGAAATACATTGGCGGCAGCTGGTTCCACATAGAGGTGGTGTGCGGCAGAAACTGCTAAAAAAACGCTCAGTTTCGGAACGACCGAGTTGATAAGGGTGGAATTTCGTGTTCTGCCTCGACTTCTGGTGATGAAACTCAGCTAAATCCAGACAAAATCTCTGAACACTCTTTTGAACTTATAAATAAATTTAATGTACACCTTTGTTCACGAAAGACATTCTTGTCTTAATAATTAATAATGACTATCATTATTAATTATTAATTTGCATAGAAATTATAACATCAAGTTTCAAGTGTTACTAACATCGTATTCGTCGATGAAGATTCACAGAAAATTAATCCCATCTTGCTCTGAATTTCTCAGCTTTCTAAACGAACTAATAAGCTTTCTAGTATCTTTTAGTGAATCAAGTGTTAATACGATTCTATTACGTTAGAAATCTTCGTTTGTGGGTCACATTTTGAGGTGCGTTCAACTGTAAATATTGTTTTTAATTTGGATAATATATTGGAGCTTAGTTTCAATATGCCTTAAAAAGTTTTAATACAAATGCATCATCTCTTTTATATATATACGTAGTATCTATGATAAATGATCTAAATAATCTATTCAATCACTCACTTTATCTCGCGTGAAAAATCACTTTAGTGAAGTAGATAAGACGATTGTGTACAAAGCTTTGTCGATTATCATAATTCTATTGGTGAAATATTCAAATAAACTGTTAGAGATGGTATAAAATTGATATCGATATTCTTGTAGTAGCTATAGTTTTTATGCATTTATTTACAATCAATTTATTAATCATTGGGATGTATTCTAAACCTATAAACATTAATATTAAAATTGATCTAATGTAGACGTAAATCGTTTTCTGTAAAACATTGTTTATATGTTTTATTTTGCTTTAAATCGTTCCATTAGTAATGTCTAAGTAATTTCATGTCATATGTAGTTTTTCACTTTTTGCTTCTAATATTTTTTCTCACAGTGGTTGCGTGGAATAGATCGTTCGAAAGCGATAAGGCCGCCAGTTGCCCTATATATAGTATTTCTCTATTACTATAACTAAGTGTACCTAAATAAATATATATACCAAATACGGAGTAGAACTAACAGAATATTTTATTTGAAAACTAATAAGAATAATAATAATGTAATATTACACGATTTTAGAATCAACTGCAACTAAATAGCGAACTATGTATGACTTTGGAATAAAAGCCAAGCAATGCCCATAGATTTTATAGAGAAGAAGTTTTCTAAGCTAAGATAAAAGTTAGGTTATGTTAATAATAATCACGCAGACGAAGCCGCGAACTGCACCTCGTGTAGAATATATCGATAAAACGTGACCTCACTATCTCGTAGTATCTACAGATTCCGATGTTATCTCATTGAACCCGCTTATCGTTAACTATCAAATTAAACAATAGGCTGCTCCCATAGTACACTCTGAACCTTACAGTTATATCGGAGTAATCTAATTAGTTTGAATATAGAATAGAATTTGGTACTGTTTATTCGAAATATTACTTTTATATGTTGGCTTCTATTTAGGAATTAAATATTGATTTTTATATCTATCCTATATGTGTGTATGATATTTAATGATTCCCTATGCATGTAACCTTTTTAAATTAGTACTGAAGTTTTCTTCTAATATTTAGCAATTATATTGATTTATAAATCTGTACCAGGCTATTTTGCGTAGATTGCGTATGTATTTATTCCCTATACACAACCTTCTTTAAATAGTTCTTATTGAAATCAATGATTTGTCACGCAATAAGTTTAAAATAAGAATTTTATTACATAAAAATTACTGTGAACGAGTAATTAATAAAATTAAACTGTCATGTGTCAAGAAAATGTCAAATCCTTAGGCTTATACTGTGTAAAGAGCGCAATACGTAAAAAAACGAAAGAAAACAAAGAAAAAAAAATTAAACCACTTGTTTGATGCGATAAGTATATTTTTTAATAATAATACATTGTATATCAGCAACCTGTTAAAGAAATTATATTCATATGTAAATGTGACAACATTTTTACCTACCCACGTGTTTACCAAATTGTATCATTACCGCAGAGATTGGTACTACAGTACTTATTGAAGGTACTATCAGCAGTTTATTCTCTATTTAAAAATCGTTTAGCAAAGCGTTATACTTTTTGTCACATACGTTTTAGGATTTATAAATAAAGGGCGAATCAGCGCCGGTATTAAGATTTAAATATGTATAAAAAAAACAATATATTGTAATATTATAATTATTACAGTAAATTATATAGTGTATACTACACTCGCACTCGTCACGTACCGAATGCTACCACTCCCCTCCTGCTGACCCTATGTTAATCGTTTTTTCCCTTTTTGTTTATAGCATTTACGCTTTGGTGAAAAAGAGAAAGATTTTAAAATAGGTGTAAAGTAGCATGTATTTATGAAATTGATTTGGGCCACATTAATTAATTTTTGACTCCTACAAAACAAACCTTTTTTTTAAATTTACTGACTAAAGACTAAGAGGACTTTAAAGTAATAGCTCGTAAACAGTAAATTTTGCTGATTGTACCTACGTGGGATCGATATTTGGTAGCGTGGGCTAATGTGTGGGCCTCGGTTACGCAGTGACTTCATTGACAACTCAGTTTTCAATTTTGGGCCACGATAAGACGCCTTCGTAGCTTAAGGCGTACACAGTGGAGGCTTTGTATTTTTAGATGACGTCACTCACTTTGTGCAAATAGGAAATGTCGTAATTTGTTTAGAGAAAATTACGACATTTATTTACTCTAAACTTATTTGACACTGATATATTTCCGAACCAATTCGACTAAGGGTCCTTCAAGAAAAGAGCGTACCAAGTCTTAAAAGGCCGGCAACGCACTTGCGAGTCTTCTGGCAATGTGAGTGTCTAGACAGCGGCGGTATCACTTAACATAAGGTGAGCCTCCTGCTAGTTTGAAAAAAAAAAGTCCTTCTGGTCTTTTAAGTTAATTCCTATTGCCGACTTTTAGGTCAGTATTAATATAACATTATTTTGTTTTGCCATTCTAAACCTATAAAACTAATATTTTTCTATAAATTGTCTCTGCACAAAGACTATTTCATATTACGATCTAGCCTAACTTAAGACTAATAAATTATTTAAAACTAATCTAATTTACTAAAAAGGATATAAGACATAAGAAGTGTCCAATAACACGTCTCAAGTCTAAGGGGAAAACACTCTGTTTTTATGTACAATTTTCTTCCACTTAACAATAAAACTAAGTAAACAAAAAAAATTACGGCGTCTAGTTTGGTTTGTACAGGATACATACATGTATCTTTTGAGTGTCTCAATAAGACTTCTTTAACGGATAAAGACGTTTAATTATTTAACAAATTACAAACTTGCTAAATAATTTGCAATTCGTGTGTTTGTATTTCTGTATTGGATGCAGCGTAACATAAGAGTTTTAGGCTTCTAAGAAGCAATGGTCAAGCAGATTCTCACCGTTTTCCCTCAAAAAACTTTCCACTACGATTACAATACAGTACATCATACAGTTAAAAACCTGTAGTACAAAACAAATCACGAACACGATAATGCGAATCGATGCGCGTGGGCACTAACGCGATACATCCGGTGCGGCAAGGCTGTGCTTAAAATGGTCACAACGACAACTTTCGGGAAACCAAGCCCAAATAATATAAACGGGTAAATAAGCTTAAAGATAATGATAACTATATTTGCAATAGAACCACGAGAAACATACATTACGTGAATTTTAAGGAATTGCCTTAACATGACGCATCGTTTGAAGATGACGAAAACCAAATCAATATTTATACTATGAACGTTATAAAAAGAAATTAATATTAATAATATGTAGCACTTTACTTTCATACTATAAAAAATTACAAATGAGATGAGTGCTAGTTCTGATATTATACACTTTGGCTACGTTGGTTATTGTTATTTCTATTACTTTGTGCAGTCTGCCTTTTGGGTAAAAGCCTCCTCTTAAACTTTCCATAAGGATCTATTCCTTGCTTCCTCCATCCATTTATCCCCAGAAACTATTATGATCGTCAGCCCATCATTTTTTTTGTGTTCCCACGTTTCTTTTTCCTGGAGGTTTCTAGCGCGTCGCATCAAAATAAATTAATGCTTCTAAATTTACATACAGCTCTCAAATCAAAAACGTAGGATGGACGAGATGAACTGGCATTAAAGTCTCTGTCCCACTTTTAAATCGCCAAGGTTTATACAAATTGTTTTTAAGCACCATTATATCATGCTCCTCATCACGTGTTAGTGAACCAAGACGCAAGCCTAAGCTTTTTTGAACTAGTTTAGTGCAAGTATAGTGAAATCTTATCTCTATTGCACTAGACATAGTAGCGTGTTTGTTGTCATAGTTACCACTTTTCTTTAAACAAAGATCGTACTCTTACTTATAAACACAAGTACTCGCTTAATAAGTAATAGTTTAGTATTTTGTATTAGAATGAGAATGTTTATTAAATTCTTTAGACGAAATTGCAATAACTAACAATACTTGACTGTAAGGATCGTTTTCCTTCTTCTTCAACTTAATAATTTAAATGATTTTCACTCTTCTGATAATAAAATAGTTTTGAAGCCCAATTAAAAATATCTAATGGCCTCCACTCGACGGTCTCTGCACGAAGTTTTCAATGTCCGTGTGAACTTTTGACCATCTCTACTGTCAGGACTGGTTGTGCTCTCGAAGGTAATTAGATGTAGTAGAAACAATGGTTGTTTGATAGGATTTTTAAATTAAAGAGAAAAGTAAGGCTTGATTCAGACTGTTTTCTGTTTGTACTTTAACATTTTAATCAGTGTTTTTTTTTAAATCTTAGTACGATCTATGACTCTGTCAAAGGTGTATTGCATTTTTAAACATGGCATCCATGTTCCTACTTACAAAAACAGAAAAATTAAACTAATTTATCAGTCAATGTTTAGTCTACTGTTATCTTAAATCATTTATGTCCTTTAACCCCTAGATGGGGCAGAGGGCGTCCACAGTATGTCTCCATCGCGTTCGGTCTGAAGCTTCGTAGTATTCACTTCGCTTCAAGTATTTCCGGCTCTCTTTGGCTCATATACACGACGCCAGGTTTGCTTGAGACAGCCACGCTTCCGCTTTTCTTGCGGGCTCCAATCTAGTGCCTGCTTGGGAATATGATTGGGATCCCTTTGGAATATATGACCTATCCATTTCCATTTGCGTTGATTGATCTGCTTGCTAATCGGTGTCACCTTTGATAGTGTTGCTATATTTCTATCATTTCAGTTATTTGGGTAATAGTTTAATTTGTGTCCAAATATTCGCTGAAACTCGCAAAACGAATTGAGGTTGTGTTTGACGCTAGTTAAAAATGTATTGTAATTATTCGAGTGGTTGCGACGAAAAACTCCAAATAAATAAAAGTTATTTGAAGTTTGTAGAGGAATGAATAAGGGGAAAATATTTTCATTTGACTCGAATAGCTCGTACTTGCTTGTTAACAAAATCAATTGATTATTGATATTTAATCAGTAGTGAATAAATACTATTCCCTAGAACATTGGTTAATATCCTTTATCTAGTATTACGTTGAACGTGAAAGTAAATATTGATAAAATCGTTCGTGTTAATGATTATCGTGTTGTCATCACAGCATCCTACCGTAACTTGATATATTTCCGTTCGCGCCTCCTTTGATCGTGGTTTTTGTTCTGGTTAAAGCCCATTAGCATAATTAAAAAAGTGTGATTTAATATGCCCGGTATTCAGATTGTCACAACATCCTATTTCCGGTAAAAATTCCGGAAGCTCCTATATTTAAAAATCGAACGAATATAATAAATCACACATTTTAAAGTAGATTCTATGTCCTAGGACCTAGTCTAGTTCCAGATTTTTTGCTACTCTAGCCGTTCGTATTCAAATTGACTGCGCACGCGCAAGAAGCATAGCAATTTCGCAAACGCCCTAAATGCGGTTGAAACAGGAGCTTTTGACACCCAATCGGATTATGATGTAGTAACATTGGTCACGTATTTAATGTTGTAATTTTGCGGTGAAAATTCTACAATGTTGCATATTTTAATATGATAAGTTGAGAAACGGAGAAGGACATCATTTGTATACATACAAAGTTTTTATATAAATCATATTCGTTAACGAAATTGGAAAAGACTAATTTTAATTTTTGTAAGCAAATATTTGTTGACAATGTAAATGGATGTTTAGAGCTTACTAAACTTTAGGCGTAAACATATTCGGGTTTTATGAAATTAAGGCGAGAAGTAAATTACGCTGGCGCACAACAACCTTAAAAAATAACTCAAGTTGCGTTAAGTATCCATTTAGCAACTTTCTGAAACTTACATATATTAAAACCGCATGTTTGCCGGTATAAACATAACGTCTTTATACATTTTTACAATTAAATAAAAATATAATTTTTTATTTAAATTAACTCAATGAATTCAAGACGTTTTTTGCTTCAAATGTCACCGTTGCCCTATAAACATTTTTCCTAACAAACTAGCTATTTTATAGGTATTTAACATGTTGTGTCGTTTACATGAATATGTAAATAATACAAGTTAGGAAACTAGTTTTGCCAAAACTTGAATCTATCTAACTTGATCGATGTCATTGCCAATAAAGGCCAATTTAGGACGAGCTTGTTAGAATAGCAAAAGCCTACGTGCGGGGTGATACCTAACTGTGCAGTGTGTACCTAGTAAAAAAGTTGACCCGAGTGGGCTATTAGAGAAAAGTACAATTCCCGAACTTTCCTCCACCTCTCTTCATCTGGCCGAACTATGTGCCTACACAATTTTTGAACAAGTTTAGTAGGCTATTCTTAGATAATTAGCGAAAGGGTTTTTAGCATACCTACAATTTTAGATTGATTTGGCACCAGTGCTGTATTTAATTAACGAAATTCTCGGTCAAATATGTGAATAAAAGAATATAACGTCATGTTTTATAGCCGTAAATTCAGTACAATTAAAATAATTAAATAATAAGCACGACAGCGGGCTTTATCGCTTTCGAGCTATCTCTTTCAGACTACCACTGTAAGAAAAATAAATAAATAAGGTGAGCGCAAGAAGTGCAAAACTTCACAAAAGGTGGGCTCAAAAGATCGAAGGCTGATACATTGACGGCGATAAAAATTAAATTAATATGATTTTATAATATGATTTTTAGTTACCATCAGAAGAATTACACGTGTATAATTTATATAAAATGTTAATAATAATTTATACATAAAAAATGGACAAAACATAGAAATCATAACACATATAAACAATAAAAAGGGGCACATGAA